AAAAAAAAAAAAAAAAAAAACGTCAACCTAACCCACATAATGATCCATTTTGTTTATGGGCATGAATTTGTAAGTTTGAACAGGTGAAAGTATATGTTCAGTATATTTTGGTATTTGTTCATAGAAATAAATTGCGTAGTTTTAATATTTTTGGTTTATGTTCAACAGTTTATTTCTTTATGTGCAGTATAAGTATATTTTTTATTTATGTCCAGTATATTTTATCTTTATGTTCAGTTTATTTTTGGTTCATGTTCAACAGTATATTGTTTGGTTTATGTTCAGTATGTAATAGTCATATACTTGGGATGAAAAAAACAGAAAAAAAAGTATGACAAAATGGAATGTGCTGGACACGCTGACAGTGATATATACTTGAAATATACTGATCATATACCAACTGGTACATAATTGAAGCATGTCCCAAATTATATGATAAGTATATATTGTGTAAAATACATGAATATGATTAGTTTATTAATATTATATCACACTGTCATATACTTCAAAATACATATAAAACCAACACCTACTTAGCATAATGTGTTAGACAGTAAAAATTTCAATATATTTGAGATAAGATCATTACACAAATGTGTGTACACATGGAATAAAAATATCTCATATATACTTTAAATCAACAATCCATATACTTGGGGAGCGAAAAAAAACATAAAAAATATGACAAAATGGAAATGAGTTGGACACACTAACAGTGTTATATACTTTGAAATATACATATTATATACCAACTGTACAAAGCAATTCAGAAAATTTGTACAAAGGCTTTTTAATCGAGTGGTTTACTTGATATGTATGGGCTTTGCCGGCGGTATTACCATTGGGCGGTGGGGGCTCCCTCGCCTTTCTCGACGGATGAAAGGTTCGCAAAAGAGGGAGAGAGTCGAATACGAAGCGAGATGGAGGAGAAAGAGAGCCAGAGAGCGAGACGAAGAGGGAGAGATATATCATCCACCCGTAAAATCAGTAACTTTCATTTAATTATTTTAATTTATTTAAACGGTTAAGGCTTAGGTATATTTGCAATATTTTAGGCTTATTTTGGTACAATTATAAATATTATTATAATAAGTATACAATTGTAATATAATTAGGATTGTAAAGTAAGGGGTGCAAATTCCTCTAAAATTTTCCCCCCACCATGCTTCCTCAATTAAATTCTAGACACAAGGCTCATCTCCTTTAATAAATCTTAAGTGGGCTGAATGAGGTATGGCCCAGTAAGTCGTGGTCTTTCGCCCATTGTTTGGGATACACAAATCGCTCCAAAATACTGAAAATAACACATAACTATCAAAGCAAATAAAATTTATGCAAATAATAAATTAGTCGAAAAATATAAACGTGCGAATAAATTAAGCGTATAAAAATACACCATTAAATATATAAAATGTGCACATTTTTCGACCTATCATATACTATAATATTTTTCTTTTATATTATAATAATAATTATTAATATAATTATGCTTATATTTATATTTTTAATATTCAA